AGAATTTTGGAGATCTTTTCTCCATAGTGGGTAAAGTCTTCCCCCTTCTTTGTTGCTTTGGCAACAAGGGCCACTCCAGATGTTGCATTTTAGTTGGGATAAAGGATCGTGTCTTATTCTGGGATGTAGCACAAGATACCCCACTTGTCTTCCTCTGGGATGGGAGAGAAGGTGGTCTTATTGGGACAGAGGGTGCAAGGGGGACCTGGGGCTGAGGCAAGGTTAGCGTTGAGGGTTTGGGTTGGATCCCACGGTGCAGCAATGGTGGGGCATGGGAAAACTGTGAAGATATTTGATCCTGGTTTAGAACTGGCAAGCAATTAGAGGTCCCATTGAATAAAACAGAGGGAGACTCTAGTGGAGAAGAGTGAGTAGAGAACAAGGTAGTGGCCACCAAGGACTCACTGTGCAGAGAGGGGAGACCCCAGAAGAGCTGGCTGCGTTTCCATTGCAAGTGGTCTTCCAAGACCTTGGGAGATGAGAATGGCTGAGGTTGGGCACGTGGATCTGCTTTGTTTTTCATGTTCCAGAAGGATGGCAGGGTGGTGATGTTCTGCTCAGCACCCAGCAGCTTCCACAGAGTCCCCCAGAAGCTCACGTGGTCGTCTGGGCACCACTGTTTGAAAACTGACCCAACTTTTTCTTTCTCCTTCCAACTCTTTGGTTCTACCCTTTTGCTGATTAGTAGTTCAAGGAGCTTCTTGACATCCGGACTGACAAATGAAGGGTTATGAGTCTCTATCTGCCTGTTAGTAAGGCCACCCCAGAACGAGGCATCTGGTGGGTGGCAGGACACGTGTTCTCGCTGGCACTTGTGCTGTAATGTGCCAGGCAAGAACAAGGACTTGGTACTTTCCCACCACCAGGAAAAGGATAAAATGCAGTAGCTGGCATGGCCAAGGCCTGAGATGGCTGGAATGAGAGAGGCCCAGTAGGAATTACCTGGAAGAAAGTTCTTTCTCACTGTGTCTGGTAGGATTTTTTTTAAGTTAGTTTGCTCTTCTTGAGGTCTCGCTGGCAGGGTGGAGACCAGAGGCCAAGGGGGCCCTGTCAGTGGAGCATGAGCAGGTGATGAGGCCATGGCAGGAGCAGCATCTTCCACAGGCTCCCTGCATGGCTGACGGGCTCCAGCTGGCACCCCTCGGTGCATCTGCCCAGGGGATGCTTGCTGTAAGGACTGGTGAAAGCCCCCTTGGTCAGAGAGCCTTGCCAGGTGGCTGTAGGAGACAGGTGGTGTGAGCAGTCCCTGCAGCAGCCCGGGGCTGGGAGGGGACCCCACGGCCCTCCATGCCCCACACCCACATCACAATGCTCCTGCTGTCCCTCAGCCCGGGGCTTTGGTCACAATCTGTCCCACGGCTCCTCCCAGCCCCCCCNCCCCCCCAAACAGCCCCAGAGGCCATTCCCTGCAGCTCTGGGGGTCACACCATAGACTTGGGGAGGCCCACCCAGGGGAGAACAGGGCAGATTCTTTACCTTTGCAGAAGGGAGAACAGGTCCTGAACCTCTTCCAGATCCTGAAGGCAATCTCTGAAAACTGGAAACAGGAGACCAGGTCACAGAGGAAGGCGGGGCCCAGGGGTCTTATAGGAGACTGGGTACAATGTCCCTTTAGGGGAGACCTTTGGGGGAGTGGACTTGGAAGCCCCAAACAGCACTGTCCAAGGCCACGTGCCCACAGGGTGATTACAGGGTTCATTTTGGGGATCGCTTTGTCTTTTCCAAAGTGTTTTCTCACTCATGACCTTGCTGGGGGAGGAAGGACTGCATGGCCTCACAGAGGAATCTGAGCCGAGTTGAACAGCTTGTCCACAGTGGGAGCAAGAGGTCCCACCCCCAGTCCAGGCCCTGGGCCCCTGCTGGGTGACACCCATTTCCAGCCCCTCAGGGCTTTGTTCTGGCACAGAATCTGGGAAGCCTCTGGGTTGTACTCTCCCTCCCAGGAGCCCCCAACCCGCCACCCAAGGCTCTGTTTCCTGAGGGATGGGCTCAGGCCCTGGTGTCCTGGAGAAGGTGGGGCTGGGCCTCAGAGCAGGGGGCACAGTGTAACTGGGGCATGCAGGGGTGAGTGGCGGATGCTCACCTTTCAGAGTCTGGCTTTTCTGGCTTCTATTGCTCCTTCTCCATGGCTCTGCTTGGTACTGAGATAAGAGAACACGGGGAGGCTGGGACCCCGCCCCAACAGCAGGTGCTCACTGCTCATGAGTAGTGTGACTTCCTACATTTAACTAAGGGGGGGTGGACTGTCATTTTCTTTAGTTTTACTCATTTCTTTTTCAAAATGGATACAAATATTTCCAGTTTTCCTTCTTTGAAGAATGTACAGAAGGATATTCTATGTGAGAAGTTTGCCACTGTTCCTCTGCTCAAGAAACACACACAATCCCAGACCTGGTGGTGCAGCTGGACTTTTTCATATAGGACCCCACTTTCCAAGGCCAGAGCCCCACTCTAGCTGCTGCTTGGGACCTCCTGGGCTCAGTACTGCCCTCAATCAGCCCCGAAGGGGGAACATTCACCTGAAACACCTGTCCTGGGTTGGCATCTGGTGACCCGGTGCTCAGGGGCCTGACCTCCACTAGAGAGGCAGCTTTTAGCCTCCAGTCCTCGGCCACCGGTCACTGTGTTCGGGACGCTGTCCTGGACCCCTCCACCACACCTGGACTCCAGCCCGAGATCTTCAGGGAGAAATCCTCGTGTCCCTCTAACCCCTGCCTGGTCTGGCTTGTCCTGGGTGGATGGTGGTCTACTTTCTCCTGACAATTCTATTCTTTCCCATTTCAGGAGTCTCTCCAGTGACTCAGAAAAGTGGAAATAATAATAGAAAAGATGATAGAATCACACTCTGCTGGGTCTGGGCTGAGGGTTCCTTACCTTCCTGCTCTTCCTGTGTTTCTTGCCTGGTAGTGAGGACGGATCAGGATGGAAATAGGAAAGTAAGAAGACAAAGAGCCCCAGTCCACATACGAAGGCAAGGATGGAATTAACTGCCCAGATAGTGGGACTGGAGCTCAGCCAACCATCAATAAAGAATTCCTGAGGGAAGAGATAATTCTCCATCTCTTTCCTCATCAGACATTAGTGTCTGATCACACTGCTGCCCTCAGGCAACTGAGCCCTGAGTGTGGAGGTGCAGACACAAGCCCCACGCCCACATCACAGAGCTACTGTCTGGTCACAAAGAGCTCCTGAGGGAGGGGAAGGGGACAGAAGAGAAGCAGCCCCTCTCCCCACCCTGCAGCTCCATCCCTCCACCCTCCAAGACCTCCAAGTTCCTCCTCTCAGCAGACACCAATCTCTTCTCTGTATCTATGAATCTGAGTTTCTTTTTTTTTTTAATTCTACATACAAGTGAAACCATATGGTATTTGTCTTTCTCTTATTTAATTTAACATAGTATTCTCAAGGTTCTCATGCTATCACGACCATCACCATTTCATTATTTTTTATGGCTGAATAATATTTATGTGTGTGATATCTTTATCCATTCACCCCAGTATACATGATTCATTTAAGACTAATGTTTTCTTATTGACTTTCTGTGTGGATGACTTTTCCATTGATGTAAACTGTTGAAGTCCTATACTGTGGGGAACCACATGTTTAATGTTTTTGATGTCACAACCTTTTAAAATATAAATCTTTTAACTAATTATTGTAGTTTTAGTTAAACATACTATTTTTGTCTTCACTCTAGCTTTATAAGTGATTTACCCACTACCTCTGCTGTACATATACTGTATGTTGCGTTTGCCTTTAAGATTTTATTTTTATGTATTTTCATGTTAATTATGTCATTTCTTTTTAGTTTAAATAAGTCCCTTCAACATTTCTTATAAGGCCCGTTTAGTGGTAATAAAATCCTTTAGTTGTTTATTTAGATAATTCTTAATCTCCCTATTAACTCCAAATGACAACCTTGCTGGGTAGAGAATTCTTGGCTGCATGTTTTTCTTTTTGCACCCTGGAAAGAAAGGCAGGTTGCAGTCAGCCAGCATTTTTTTCTTGTTTTTAAAAACTTATTTTGTGAGGGCCTGTATGAGGGCCTGGTTAGCCAGAGGAACTTACTTGCAGACCCCGGATATAGGGGCGAGCCAGACCAGATGGAGACATCCAATCAGTGGGGCGTGCATATATTCGCTGTGGTGTATTGAAATTCAATTGGTCACCCGTATTGCCCACCAAGCATGACTGTGCAGTTTTCCCTGTGTGTTGCAATCTCATTGACCGCCTGTGTGTGGGCCGGGCTCAACCACCTCTATAAAGGTTAGTCTGTGAGGCTGGATGGGGGGGAGTAGTAGTAGTCGTTGGGGTAGTTGTTGGGGTAGTCGTCGCCCTCATCAGGATAGTCGTCCAGGGAGTGGCCTCATCCAGGGAGCGGCCTCGCCAAAGTGGCATCATCCGGGGAGCAGCCTCGTTTGGGGAGCAGCCTCGTCCAGGGAGTGGCCTCGTCAGGGTCGTCGTCATTGCCTCTTCATAAGAGATGGCCCCAAACCAGACGGTTGGTTTGGTTTTCGATGCTTTGTGCGAAATAAGCTTTGCTTGACTTTCTCTTTGCATCAGTCTCGTTCCTTTGATCACAGACCCTAACATTGGGGGCTCGTCTGGGATCAAATGATAAGAACTGAGCCAGCATCAGAATTTCTGGGAAAAGCCTCCGGAGGTAAGATCTTTGGATCCTGTATGTCTGACTGGTTGTGGAGCTCCAGGGTATACCCCACCGGGGGGAAGCTGGATGCAGCCATGCTCCCCAGGGCTGGAGTGGATGTGGGGATGCCCCATCCCTCTCTTGGTAGATCGACAGGGGGTTTGAGTCCCCCTGGGTGGTCAGGGGGTTCGAGTCCTCCTGGATGGTCACCAGGGGGTTTCAAGTCCCCCTGGATGTCAGGGGTTGGTGTCCCCTTAGGCGTTCAGGGGTTCGAGTCTCCCTGGATGTTCAGGGGGTTCTGGTCCCCCTAGGCGGTCATCGGGGGGTTCAAATTACCCTAGGCAGTCAGGGGTTGAGTTCCCCTGGGTGGATGGGGAGTTCGAGTCCCCCTAGGCAGTCAGGAGATAAAGAAAGTCCCCACCAGTGCCAGGTTCTGGGTAATGATCGCTGGGTCTGCAGTTGTTTTTGCATTTTTTTTTTTTTTTTTTTTTTTTTTTTTTGTCCGTTGTCTGATTTGTCGGGGACCAAGAAAGTCCCCACCAGCAGCGGGCTCTGGATGGGGATCGCTGGGCCTGCAATTGTCTTTGCCTTGTTTTTTTTTGTTGTCTGTTGTGTTGTTTGTTGTATTTGGAGAAATGGGACAAGCGGGGAGCAAGGGACCTGTGACACCCCTAGGTCTTGTTTTCAAACATTTCAAGGATTTTCAAGGTAAAGCCACCCAGTCGGGTGACAAGGTTTACCCAGGAAAACTAAAAACACTCTGCCAATTAGAGTGTCCCACTTTCCTCACAGGGTGGCTGCCGGAAGGAACGTTTGCCTAGGCTCAGATCTATTCTACTCTGAGTGAGGTCTTCTATCTACATCGAGACCAAATACCATACATTGTGTCCTGGTGATATCTGATAGAAAAGCCACCGTATTGGCTCAAGACCCACCTTCCCCCTGCTAATGAAACCATCTCTCTCCCTCTAAAGCAGGTCAAAACACCAAAACCAGAACAGACAGATGATGGGGAACCAGGGAAGAAGACTGTCCTACCTCCATCGGATGTGGAGGATGTGGAATTCCCCCCACCATCTGTCCCCTAAAACTGACTCTCGGTCCCGAGGTGCCCTTACCAGTCCACCTCATACACAGTAGGGGTCTGCCTATGGGACCACCAAGCAGAGAGACCGCCCTGATCTTTCCCCTTTCCTCTATCCCCCTCTGCCTCCCTTTACCTCACTGGTACTGTTGGTGTCAATGCTGCCTCTCTGTGAGGTTGCTCTATTGGATGGGAGAGGGTGCCACCACCTAACCTATATCCCTTTCTCTTCTTCTAACATCTATAACTGGAAGGCCCAATGCAAATCCTTTTCTGTCCACCCTCAGGATTTACTGTCTTTCTTACCCACCAACCTACCTGGGTGGATAATCAACAGTTCCTTATGGCTCTCTTTAATGCAGAAGAGAGGGATCGCATCATGCGAGAAACCCATAAGATGATAAGCAAGAGACTTGGCAGGGACCTAGATCCCCACCAAATGGAGGACTACTGCCTGAGGAAACCCCACGACTGGGATCTAAACTCCGATGAAGGCAAGGAGAGCTTACGTTTCTACTGCCAGGCTCTACTGGGAGGCCTCTGTGCAGCTGCAAGGAGACCCATAAATTTATCTAAAATTAGTACAGTAGCTCAAGGTAAGAATGAGTCTCCAGGAGCTTTCCTAGAAAGGCTTATCGAAGCCTATAAAATGTATAGCCCAATCGACCCTGAGGCACCTGAAAATCAGAGGGCAATGAATCTTGCATTTGCCAGTCAGTCAGCCCCAGATATAAGGAGGAAACTTCAGAAAAATTGAAGGATTTGAAGGGAAGAATCTGACTGAATTAGTGGGAATAGCAGAAAAGGTGTTTAACAACAGGGATGCACAGGAGGATGAAAAACAGAAAAAAAAAACTGGTTAAGGTTTTGGCATTACGTGAGGCAGGGAGGAGACATGTAGGGGATAGAAAATGGAAGGAAAAGCCTAAGCACAGAGAAGGCGGGCGGGAAGACTTATATTCAGATCAGTGTGCTTACTGTAAGGAAAAAGGACATTGGGCCAGAGAGTGCCCAAAAAGGAAGACAGCAGTGTTCGCCACCAGAGACTGAAGGGGCCATGGTTTGGAGCCCCTTTCTGAACCTTGGGTAAAAATTGAAGTGGAGGGGAAATCAATTGATTTTTTGGTGGACATGGGAGCCCAATTTTCATCATTACTTAAACCTATGGGGAAACTATCTGGAGAGGAAGTCTGGGTACATGGAGCAAATGGCACAGAGAAACATAAATGGTCAACAGAAAGGACTTTAAATTTGGCCTCAGGAGTAGTTAAGCATTGATTTTTGGTCCTCCCTAATTCCCCATATAACTTGATGGGAAGAGATCTCCTCCACAAGTTACGAGCTGACATTCAGTTCTTGGAAGGAGACATGACTGTAACCTTGAGACAACCCACTGTACAGGTGCTTGTGGCAGCAGTAGATGAATACCTCCTTTACGAGCCGGTCTCAAAACCAGTGGAGACAAAGTGGGGGAGCCTTCTCCACACCCTACAGGTCGAGTTTCCTGAGGTTTGGGCAGAAGGGAAGCCCCCTGGCTTGGCCAAAGAACAACCTCCAGTGGTGGTGCAATTAAAGGCAATGGCTATGGCTGTTCACATTTGGCAGTACCCCCTCCCCCAGGGAGCAAAGGAAGGGATCAGAAAACACATTAACTGCCTCCGAGGAGATGGATCCTAGTTCCTTGCAAATCTCCATGGAACACACCTTTGCTGCCCGTCAAAAAGGCTAAGACTGGGGAGTACTGACTCATTCAGGACTTGCGGGAAGTTAACAAATGGGTTGAAGATATCCACCCTATGGTGCCTAACCCCTATACCCTACTCTCCCTCCTGGGCCCCAAAAGAACTGTGTATACAATCTTAGATCTCAAGGATGCATTTTTCTGCATATTTTTAGCAAGGGAATCTCAGCCCCTTTTTGCTTTTGAGTGGTCTGACCCACAGGAAGGGTTCCAAGGCCAGCTCACCTGGACAAGACTTCCCCAAGGATTCAAGAATTCACCCACCATTTTTGACGAGGCCCTACATGAGGATTTGTGTGAGTGCAGAACCTCCAACCTGGGAGTCACTCTGTTACAGTATGTTGATGACTTGGTAGAAGCCGCTGAGGACTAGGAGTCATGTTTGTGGAGAACAAGAGCTCTCTTACAGACTCTGCAGGAAAAAGGGTATCAGGTGTCAGCAAAGAAAGCTCTGTCAGAGCCATGCCACTTATCTAGGCTTTGATCTCCATGAGGGAGTGTGTTCACTGTCTGAGTCCAGGAAACAGGTGATCACACGATACCCCCGCCCCACCATGTCCCGACAAGTGAGGGAGTTTCTTGGGATAGTGGGTTACTGT